ATAACTGTCATCCCTACCCTGAAACCTGTTAAGGGATTCCAAACAGAGCTTATTATTATTATTATTATTTTGCAGATGTCTTCCTTCACATATTTATTTTCATTTTCTTTTTTAAAAATTTTTATTTATATTTTTAGTCATACATGACAGTAGAATGCATTTTGACATAAAATACATACATGGAATGTACACACATCAATCATATTGTCTATTCTATTCTGCTGCCCTTCCTATCCTCCCTACTCCTCCCCTCCTCTCCCATCCTTTCTCAAACAGAGCTTTTTAGAGTCAACTACATTTATTATGGTTATGATCTTCCCTACAAAAGTTTACTGCTTAATGGCAGTGATGGGATGAAAGATCATACAGCCTATTGGCTTATATGATGAGGTGGAACAGCCGTGGAGTTACAAATTCCTTTCTCCTTCAACTTGCCATATGAAGCAAGTGGTGTCATTCCTTGCTCTTTCAGACAGGATGGAGGCAGTCTTTGATGATAACATAACACACTTTGTAACCAGTACTGTCCTTACCTATTCCTGTCCCTTTCTTAGTGGAAAATTGAAGAAGGCATGTAGAACCTATTTAACTTTTTTTTTTCTTTTAGGTACAAATCACTGGAAGAGTCTGTGTGGTTAAAATGTGTGGTATTTTCTTGTTTTAACTGCTGCCTTCACTGACAATGAAAGTTGACCTTTCATTTTAAGCTTACCATTAAGATACATACGTATTGCTTTATTCTCACCCCAGTCATCAGTTAAGATGGTATTTTTGTGGCAAGTGTGGGAAATAGGTAATAAGAACCAACAATAAACAAGTAGCACAATTGCATAATATATTAGAAATTATAAAGTACTTTCTTCCTACATAACCTTACTCCATTCTTATCCTGCTCTTGGATATTATATTAATTTTATGGAGCAGAGAGCTGAGGCTTAGAATGGTTTAAAAATTTACTCAAGACCACAAAGTCAGATTTGATAAAATCAGAACTTAAATTTAGGTTTTCCAATTCCTAGTTCAAGGCCCCCCCATACACTGATAAGTAGAGTATGGTGATTATGAACACAACATAGGCTTTGGAGTGAGGCAACCTTGGCTTTCAATTCTTTGTTGCCACTTACTTGCTACCATGAGAACATTGCATAACATCTGAGTCTTGATTTCTTTGTATGTATTCTGTATGTAATAAGGAATTATATCTACCTCTCAGAGCTTTTGAAGAAGATTAACGAGATGGTAAATGTATAGGCCTGAGTGCCATGATTGACCCTAGGGTTTTGATAACAGTCATCAGGGACAAAAGGCAGGTGAATGATGAGACACTGAACTGATGCTGTATCTTCATGCTTTCTAGTCCTGGTTACAGTGGCACATAATTTTTCTTGGTATTTAACAGCTAAGTACAATTCTTTCAGAAGGAGAAAACAGACAGAAATAACTAGGCTTTGATTGTTTAGAATGAAAGGGAGATGGCATATAGAATCAATTAGTGTGACAGGCTGAAATTGAGAAAAAGGAAGAGGATAAAATCAGAAGAAATCATTTTAGTCAAGATGACCATTATTAAAAAGCACTTACATCTTGGAAAAACACTGGATGTTACCAAGTAGAATTAAGTCATAAACACAAGATACACTGGTAGTTCCAGTTACCAGTCCTAGTACCCATGTTGGTCACTGATAAAGTTCCACTTGTCAGATAAAATGATAATATAGTGATTTTTTGAATAAAGCTAAATTTATTTGGTTTTAACACTTGCTCTCTATTTGGATGTAGCTTTTCAGCTTTTTTTTAAAAATGTAAACTGTTTTTTTTTTTTTTTTTGAAAATGATAGTGATAAGTAGTTGATAGATTTTTTTTAAGGTCCTTACTAGACAAAATAAAAAGTTGGCAAACTAGTATGTTTCTCCCATTGACTAATACTTATTTTGAAGCCCCAGAATCTAGAAAACAGTGAAACAGTTAAAGTTTTCTTTCAGTTCTGAGAATCTAGTCTCCTAGATGTCAAAGCAACCTATACAGATCATTAAAAAATTAAGCAGATTGTCTCTAAGGAGATATCAACATATCTATTTCTTAACAGTTCATATTTTATACAGACATTATATTCTTGTCCCCTAGGAAATTATGTAAGATAGAACAGAGAAGCAGATTATTGTTATCCAACACACAGAAGATAGGGTAAACACACTAATCTAATATATAAATGACTAACAATCATTAATTTAGGGGTAGATGACAGACAAAAACCATGATGGGGGAGAAGTAGATGCAAAGAGTAGCTGGGAGATCTATACCCAAAGTAGACTAAAGGCCCAATCAGATCATCTTGAAATCAACCAGGGCTATCTGGAACTCCTTAAAACATCCCCTGATGTATTGAGGTTGGATATGACTATAGAATTTCAGTGATTAGACTAGAGATGGTTTTCATCAGTAATTAAGAAAACAAACATTTTGTTTTGTTGGTTTTGACTTCAATCCCATATACAGGTTCTGATGTAAACATTAAATACAGGTTAAAATAACTAGGCACCAAAATATTCTAGAGTAGTTGAGTCAGTAAAATTGTGAATATTTGTAATTAAGCAGGTTCTTATATATTCAAGTTCATCCTTAGTCACAGAAGTATTTTTGAGAGGAACATTTGTTATAGACATCTAGTGGGCAAGTGATTTATTTCATTCTAATGATCTCTGCTGGTCTCAATTAATGTGGCTTGTAAAATTGCATTCACTTGTAAGCCAGGGAGTGTTTTGGCCTTTGGAAAATCTGGCTCATTGTTAAAAATATGTAATTTGTTTCAATTCTGAACATAGCAAATAAACTAATGGCCTTGCAAAATAAGTATTTCTGAAGTAGATGGCCAGGAAAATGCTAATAACTGGGAAAACAAATTACCAAACAGAGTCCCAAAACAATTTACTGACAAATAAAAGTATTTTTTTTCATATTCTTAAGAGCAGTATATGACTTCAGTATTTTGAACGTGTGTTGATTGCCCATTAATATATTTTACAGATATTTATTGAGTCCCTACTAAGTGCCCAGGTTTGTTTGATACAAAAATAAAGGTTATTTATTACTCATCAGGCTATCACCGTCTCTGGGAGGTTCTCAATAAGCATTTAAAAATTAGCAAGTTTCTACTGGAACTTACACCAAATACCACACCTACAGACACACATATACACATATCTTAAAGGATCTGGGCATGTTCGAAATTTTCAGGAACTGAAGGAAGCAGGCATTAGAACTGGAGCCAACATCTAATACATGTTGTTACAGCTTGGTTTTAAAAATGACTTTTAAGTTATGACTTGGAGCTTCTTTCTCCTTTAACCTCATTTCATGTGGTCATGCTTCTGGAAGGTCCTCATGGCACAATAAAACATTAACTTCTAGATTTCGTGGGTACTTGGGTTGGTAGAGGTTTCTCGGGGAGTAAGCTGAAGGTCATCTACTTCAGCCCTTTTCAGATTTGATAGTAATACTATCTAGTTGAGGGAAAACAGAGACAGGTTGGTATTACAGTGTTTGCTGAACTCTGAGACTGCCCTTTGAACACCCACCTCTGGGGAAAACCTATGGAATTTGTTTGTGTGTTTGATACCAAGGAGACCCTGGGATGCTTCTGTGTACTCATAACTGCATAGAGTAGTTCTCTTCATCTGCCAAGTAGAAGGCCTATTGTTTTCCAGAAAGAAGCTGAAAGTGGGGCCTACCACAAACTCTGCCTGGCCTTTTGCCCACGTTGCAGGATGGACCTAGAGTGCAATCTGCTGTTGTGGATGGGAGTTCTGCGCTGAGGGGGAACCACGCTGTTCAGGGCTGGTCTCTGGCATCTGGGAGTTGCCTGTGGACCAGCTTTGACTAGGGGCTGAGTTTAAAGCCTCTGCAGCAGCGTCTTTCTGTTCCTCTCTGGCACCATACAGACTCACTTCCCTGCGAAAAGGCAAAACCCAAGGGTCGTCCTTAAGGAGGGGCAGATCTGCCTGTGCAGCGAAATAGCATGGCCAGAGAGCGTCTCAAACGTATGCAGAGCTGCCCTGTCTTAGTGCAGTCCAGGTCGCTTTGACTTAATCAAAGCCAGAGTATGTTGAAGGCCTTAAAACCGTTAGTTCTTGGTGGCTGCAAGAAGAGCCCAGCAGAGCTATGGCACAGATTGGGCGTTGTTTTTCTTTCTCTTTTTCCTTCCCTTCTCCGAACAGAGAATCCCTTTGACTTGGATATTCTGTTTTTACTCTCTGGCCACCCTTTGCCATATCAAGGTCAGAGGATACTTCTGTGGGGGCTGCCCCATGCGTCGCGGAGGTCCTGGCTCCTAGTCACGGAGTTTCCCTCTGTGCTCTGTTCTTTGACAGGAATCACAGTCGCCTCCCCCAAATCCTTGCAACTTAACAACCCTTGCGTTTGCTGCTTCAGCCCAGAGAGAAGGGCCCGATCGGATGCTATGCCTGATGCTGTCAGGACAAACAGACGTGCAGTCTGTGCGAACTCTTTGCGCGGTAGGAGCTTATGCTTAAACCGCTTTCTCCAAAGCCTCCCAGCAAGGGAAGTAAAAAGACGTCCCGACGCCCAGTGCCCAAGACTACTACTGTACTGCATCGGTCCCACCGTCCTCTTTCCTGACCCTGGAGGGTTAAATCAGGAGGGTACAACGCCACCCCTTCCTCCTACTTCCCGCCTCCCCCCACCCCTCACCTTTAAAAAGTTAAAAAATGTCCGCAGTCGAAATCTCTTAAAGGGGCGGTGCTGGTGAACGAGTACTCTTGGCACGAGTTGCTGAGAAGGCTGGCTAGGGGCGTGAGTTCGCTCCACCAGCACCAAAACACTGAAGAAAAAAAAAAAAAGAAAAAAGAAAAAAAGAGAGAGAGAGAGAGAAAGCGCGAAAGAGAATGGGGGGGGGGAGGAAGGGAAAAGAGGGGGGAGGCAGACAGACACACACTTTAGATAAGGACAATTAGTCACCAGCGAGACCCAGTAGGGAGAGAGGTTTAAATCAGAGGGATTTAATGAGGGTGCTCTGTGCCTTCCCTGAAGACATGCCCTCCAGCAACTCCCGCCCCCCCTCGTGCCTAGCCCCGGTGGCTCTCTACTTGGCTCTGTTGCTCCATCTCTCTCTTTCCTCCCAAGCTGGAGACAGGAGACCCTTGCCTGTAGACAGAGCTCCAGGTTTGAAGGAAAAGACCCTGATTCTTCTTGATGTGAGCACCAAGAACCCAGTCAGGACAGTCAATGAAAACTTCCTCTCTCTCCAGCTGGATCCCTCCATCATTCATGATGGCTGGCTCGATTTCTTAAGGTAAGGCAGGGGCTTCGATGGATCATTTTTAATTTTAAGTAACCCCCACCCCCATTCTCTTTCTATCCTCCACTTCAAAGGGGGAAGAAGAAGAAGAAGGAAAAAAAAAAAGAAGAATAAGAAGAAGGAGAAAATAAGTCAAGCGGATCTGTCTCAGAAGAGAAAAAAGGAGGTTTTCCTCCTCCTGGAATATTTGCTGTGAGGCTGTAACTAGTGATTGAGAAAAGCAGTGTTTTCTATTAAGATGCACATGTTTGCAATGCAGAAGGCATTTCAGAAACTTATCAGTTATGACTGAAAAAATGTTGTGCTTACATATATCCACAATTAGCCTCCCCTTCTCCTTCTGAAAAAGAAACAAGAGGTTCAGGGCAGTTACAAAAGCGAGGAAAAGATCTGGAGCAACAAAGACCTGAGAGGAATGGGTGTGTGTGTGTGTGTGTGTGTGTGTGTGTGTGTGTGAGAGAGAGAGAGAGAGAGAGAGAGAGAGAGAGAGAGAGAGAGAGTGTGTGTGTGTGTGTGTTTTTCCAAGCCGGAATTGCACGAAAGTGGAATTTTCCACGGAAAGATCTTCGTCAGTTGTCTCCCATTCCCAGAAAGAAAATGAATTTAAGGAGAGGCTTGAGCAATTGCAAGTTGGATCATAGCTTTAAAATTTTATTTTATATCCTTCACTGCCATCTCCAGACTTCAGGATTTTGCAAGGCGCTTTTTATAGACAGAACGCACACCCCACCCCCGATCCCCCTCCTTCAGTCTCCTGCAGTAACTTCATAGTTAAAAAAAAAAAATCCTCTCGTGGGTCATAGCGTACATAAGAAGGGCGATAAGGGTCCTAGAAATGCTCGGGGGAAGTTTCGGAGGTTTGAACCCGGCACCGGCACCAGCACCAGTGGGTTAGCCGACAAGGGAGAGTGTGATCCCCTTGGAATCTAACTGGGCTCTCACTCTTCCCGGTTATTACTATTAAGCAGTTAAGCAACCGCAGTCGTTTCCCATCAGGGACAAAGTTGCAGTATTAAAAAAAAAAAGAAAAGAAAAGTAGAATAAATAAATCATCTAAAATATCAAATCCAAGTGTTGATTTTTAAAAAAATTCCCTCCAAATTGGAGCCTCAGCTGTGGGCTCCACCAGAGTCCTGAGAGCTCTCCATGCCATTCCTCTGCCTCAGGGCCGTGTCCGCTGCCGGTCTTTCGTGAGTATTTTTCACTCCTTCGGAAATTCGAGTTTTGTTTCTCCGGATGCGTCCGCCCCTCAGCTTTCGGGCGTCTTCCTCTGGCCTTGGCGGAGTCTGCGGACGCGGCAGGTAGCTGGAGCCGCCACGTGGAGCGCTCCTTTCACGTGGGGGGAGCTAAGCCAGATGACTGAGTGGATGTTGCCGCCGCAGCGGAGGCCGTTTCGGTCCTGCGGGTGCTTATGGTGGGAGGGCGGGAACAGCTCTGCCCCGCCAGGCTTCCTCCTGGAAAGCTCTTGTGCTGTAGAGCGTGTATCATCAGAATATGGGGTGCAGCAGGGTTTCCGAAATGCACGCCCCACTTGCATTGCGCTCCTCCAGGTGCGCAAACTCCTCCGGGTTTTCTTTTCTTCCTTCTTTTTTTCTTTAAAAAATATTAGCCCGTTCTCCCCAAGTACTTGCCCGCTGTAGAAAAACTACTGGAAGGCAGCTTTTCCGGGAAGAAACCCAGACGGGAGGGGCGCATTTGCATTGGTAGAACAGGCTTCTTAGTGGAAGGTGGTTGGAAATGCCGCGTTTCCTTGGGGCCGGACTGGCGCGTACTTCTGCTCTGCCCGCAGCGGGTTCACGCGACGCCCTAACTGCGCGCGCCCTGGAACTGGATCCTGGAGTCCACTGCCAAATCGTCCTTCTTGCCACCGAAACTCTCAGGCTAGTTACGTCTCTTCTCAAAAATTCTCTATAAGCCGACTCTCCGTTTAGTCTCTCCTGTGTCCACCTCCTTTATCATGCTCTTTAATTTCTGCATTTTGATTTGGAGTTTTCAGAACCGTAGCCAGCAAAGCTTTAAAAATAATTTACAGACCTGGAACTCTCGTTAACAGCATCTGCATGGTTCCTCACCTACTCTTTCTTAAAACAGCAGCGTTTAGTTTCTAAAAACCTGTTGGTGGAAATCCTGAACTTAAATAGATGTAAATGTTGTTGTTTTGGTGGTGCCCCACCGAATTTCCCCCAACCGGCAGTTCCACTTTTCTGCAAACTTCTTTACTCAGCACTCCCAAACTGACCAAGTGGGAAGGAAAAAAAGAGCCCAAATTAAGGTGTTTGAAGAAAAATGTTACCTTTCTTGCAGGCTATCTCAGGGACCAAAAAGACATTGCTTTTACGGTGTGCGCGCGCGCTCGTGTTCTGGAAAGGCAAGGATTTACTCAGAGAATCTCTCCGCCCCGGGATTTGGGAAACAATGAAGTTGTTATAATGTAAAAGGAAAATCAAAATTTTCACTTAAAAAAGTCGGAATCCTCTTGACCTCAGGTGCTAGGCCTTCTCCGAGAGAAAAAAGTCAAGGTTTCACCTTAAGAGATTCCCATGCTCCTGGGGCGGGGGAGGCGACGCAGGCTTGCAGTGTGAAAGTTTGGCAATGGGGGCTGGCGTTTGGTGGGTTGCGCGTCTAGGTCTGGAGCGCTTTCCTGGCAGTGGCAGAAGCCAGGCAACTGAGCGTTGGCCCCATGTTCTCAGTACAAGCAAGTGTCCCTCTAGGCACATACACACACTGTAAGCAAATGTAATCTCTAACCCTTTGGAAATCAGCACCTTGGGCATCCAGGTGTCGGGTGGGAAGGGGCCATAGTGGACAGCCGGGCACCGGAGGCATAGCATGGGGAAGTTGTGAGGCCGAGGGCAAAGTGGACTAGGGCGCCAGGCGCATGCAAAAGACGCCGCGGAGCAGCCCCTGGCCGTGTGACCCTGAGCTGGGGCGGGCACAGAAAACCCGCCAGGTCTCCCTCAGGGAGTGAGAAGAGGGCCTTGCTGGTGCCATGCCCGCTCTAGCCTTCTCCTGGGATCCTTTCCTCTCTTTCTCTACCCTTGCAGCTCCAAGCGTCTGGTGACCCTGGCCCGGGGACTTTCACCCGCCTTTCTGCGCTTCGGGGGCAAACGGACGGACTTCCTGCACTTCCAGAACCTGAGGAACCCGGCGAAAAGCCGCGGGGGCCCGGGCCCGGATTACTATCTCAAAAACTATGAGGATGGTGAGAAACTTGGTCCCCATTCTTGCAGGGTGGGAGAAATTTGGGAGTCGGAATTGAGCATCCGGGGTGTGTGTGTGTGTGTGTATGTAGGGGGCAGATTTGGAGGACGGCCTGTCCCCTGAAAAACTGGAAGTCGAAGGCCAGGGACACCCACAGTGTGAGACTCCTGACTGTGCAAAGGAGGATCTCCAGGTCGTCCTAGTACAAGCTGCCTGGCTTTTGCTGGGCGCAATCTCCAAGGCCAGAAGCTGATAACTAAAACTTAAGGCAGGCTCTGGATCTGGGGGGAGAAAGTGCAGCAGCCTTCTTAAGAAAATTCAGACAGGTTCACAGATTACTGAATTGTCAGAGTCATATTTCATTCCCTAAATTCTAGGCACACGTGCCTTTTTGTTTTTCTTATTTCTTGCCTTCCTGGAATGAGGATACAGAGATTTAGTCTTTTTAGAACCCACTCTAAAGTTTTCTGGAGCAATGCTTTGCCTTTTACACTCACCCCTTTTTGAGGAAGGTTTGAAAACCTCAGTACTGGATTATTCTCTGCCCTTCAAAGAGCCTAATCTTAGAGTCCTATTTTCTCCCTTAGCTGAAAAAAAAACCACACCGCAAATGTCAGCCTTCTTTCCTGCCAGAGTCAGATGAGTTTGGTGTTAGAAGGACTTTGAAAACTACAAATTCTATTCCACGTGAGAGGCCGGTCTTTTTAGGTTTGAGCAGTCTCATTTTTTACTAAGGGAAAGATGAAAATGGTACTTAAAAATTTTTGTTTAGAAGGTTTGGTGTTAATACCTATCAGCATTCTGTGTGACTAGTGGGACATTCTTTCAAAGAGGTGTGATGGGAATCCATGTGTCCAGCCACTGATGCTGTTAAAATTGGATAGAAGATGCATTAGTGTTGGTTCTTGGAGGGTTCTTTCCTGCTGTCCCTTCTCACAATTATGTAAACCACAGTTTTATTTTTTAAGGGTAGAGGATCAGGTTTTAAGTTTTGTAAAAATCTTGTCCTTACACACCAGCTACAAGGAAATATCATTGTGTTTCTAGGATTTTACTGAATGGGACTTCTGGAGAAATATTGGTATCTATTTAAAGAGTGGCTGAGAAACATTTTATAAAAGTTCAGAATAGAGACAGCAAGGCTGAGGCTTCTTGAGTTTGAAGCATGAGTAGTACTTAGTGTATTTTTTTTTAAAAATAACATTTGCCAAAGAGTGGAAGTGTTTAAGGCTACATCTTTTCAAAGGTAAAAGTCATTGCCATAAAAATGTGGATTGCAAGTAGATTTTGCTGTCACTCAGCATAAAATACTGAAAGGAAAAAAGATAACCCTAAACAGCAGCTCTAATGGTAATTTGACCCAGAGCCTTATAGCTCCCAGGGTCACTGTCAGCTCAATATCAGACAGACACAAGAAAGGCTATATTAATGATTTTCCTGATGGGACAGTTTTTCTTTGAATTCATTTAAACTACTTCCCCTTTAGTTTGTGGAAAATCTTGTAAGAGCCTCTGGGATTGCTGTGGGGAAAAACAACTTCATAAATTAGAAATTGGCCTTTTTCTCCCAACTTCATACCTAAGATTATATTACCAATTCATTGAGAACAATGAAATTTGCTTAAAATGAAGGATACAATTTATTTCCCTTTGTAGAAGTAGAAAGTGGGCATTATGAGGAGAAAAGAAATTGGCAGAAGGCTGTGCCACATAAAACTTCATGGAATTAAAGTAAGCACACAAACCAGGAGTAGAAAACATCTAATAGGCCATCTTCTGTCTTCTTGCAACTTCAGGGTCCAATGCAGGATCATTTCTTATTAAATCTTTTTTAAAAAATTTTTTCATCTAACCTCATATTAAATATCTCTAAGAATGTAGTTTTTACCACTCCTTGAGGAGAGAGTTCTGTCCCATAAATTTTTGCCTGGAATTTCTCCCTAATTTTCTTTTAATAAATATTCTCCCAAATATTTACAGTGATTCATTTGCATGTTTTAGACATCTCTCTTCAAAATATTTTTTTTTGTCTTTGGTGTGAATGTTAGCTTCAAATAAAGATTTCCTGTTAGCTGATTTTTAAAAAATCTAGACTACCTGGATTTAATTCTTAAAACTTTCTTTAAAGTCAGTCCTTCCAGACACTAATCTGTTTTATTGCTCCTTGCTGAACTCCTTTTGATTTATGTCTCCCTGGTAATAAGATGCTCTGAACTATATCAGTATTTGAGGCCTTAGCAGAGTTAAAGAGAGTAGGAATGCTCTACTTCTGCCCTTTGATGCTCACATATCTTTAAATCACCCATGTTGTCTTTGTTGTTGCATTGCAGAAATCAAGGCAAAAATGTTTTTGGTATAATCTCAACAATTTTGCAAGCATTATATTTTCTTTTTGACTTTTTATCCACTGGTAATTCTCATCATGAGCATCTAAAAATAATTTGGTTGTCTTAGTAAGTGGCCCTGTAATAGGCACTTTGGGCATCAAGGCACTTTATTAAAAACGTGTGTACTTATACATAATACAGAATAACAGTGTACATTTTGAGTAGTAAGATACACCTGCTGGTACATTATGAAATTCAGTGATAGAACAAAGAGAATATGGAATTTGGGCTTAGTAAGTTTGCACTACAGGCCTGGCTCTATCAGTTATGAATGTATGGCCCTCAGCTTGTTTGCTTCTCTGTAACATATGGATGATGATAATACCTGTTGTGCATTGCTTCTGTGAGGATTCCAAGAGATAATGTGTGTAATGTGTTGACCGCAAAACACAAGGTGAAGGATTCATACTTTATTAAAGACAACTTCTGGAAATTTGTAACATATCATTAATGTTTTAAAGTGGGATTAAGAAGTGAAAAAGATTAGGTAAGACTGAAATTTATACAGAATGAAGCTGGTTGATTTAATGAATCATTTGAGAAAATTAAGACAATATAGGAAGACTTTAAGGCACGGAGGTAAGAATATCAAGTGGCCTTTTTTGTGGAGATGAGAGAAGAGATTACTTTTTAGTTTTATATATTGAAATTGAAAGGAAGTGATAGTTTTAGCTTGGGCAAAAACCATTTTTTTCTCTCATTAATTCATTCATATTGCTTTCCTAATGTGATTTTTTTGTTGTTTTCTCCTGAATTAATAATTCAATTAATGACATGTGGCTTCCATTTTCCAAATACTTTTTGAGCACATTAAAGCAATTGCATTTTCTCTAACTTTGTAAGGCCACTGTTTATATATCACTTTGGCAGTTTCTCTGGTTACACCTTTAATTCAATTACTTATTCCACTCTATGCTTAGGCACTTTGGATTTCATACAAACATGGTGATGATCATAAAGGAAGTAAAAATAGGGTAGTTCTTCATACCCTGGGAGTTGTGCCTTTGCCTGACTTTCTGTCTTTTCTGTGGTATGTTATGCTTTACTTTTTCCCAACAAAGAAATCTTGGGCTAATTTTTTGTTCTTAAGTTTATTTTGCTCCATCTGACCCTGCTTATAATATAATCAGTATGTTTCATTTGTATGCTTGTCTCTTTATGGCCATAACCACATATCTAATTAAGATGTATAGCATTTATTATATGCATCAACAACCAGCTTAATATTTCTAAAATTTTGTATCGTGTCACTCTTTTGCTCAAAAACCTTTTGGATTGCTTATAAAAATTTTTCAAATTCTTTTATGTGGCATTCACACCTTTCACATTTCACTCTTGGCTTACTTTGTTTTGCTCTATGTTTTCATTACTTTTTAATATAGGCCTCCATCATTAGTCACTGTCCTTATAACACCTTCACTATCCCAACCCCCTACTTAGGATAGCCTATGTATTTCTGCCTTTAATGACATTCTCTTAACTCTTTTCAAATCTCAGCCTCAACCCACCAATTCTTAAAGGCCCATTGCAAATGTTTCTTATTTACATAAATTCTTTCATGAATAGGGTGCCCCAAGTAATCTTTTTCCCTCTGGACTGTTGAAGGTTTTACTCTGTGATATTCATTTGGACCTTTCTGTGTTGTTTTTATATTTAACTTCTCATATTTATATTTATTTTGCCTTTCTAAATAATGTAAATTCATCATGGTAAGGGACCACAACTAATTATTGTATAAATGTCTGGCATTATATATGATACATGGTAGGTCTTCAATAAATAGTCTTGGGTACATGGTAGTTTAAGAATACAGTGGAAGGCCCTGGGAAAATGGAGGTAACCAATAAAGAAATGAAAGAAAATACATGAAGATCCCATTCATTTTTTGCCTTGAGGGTATATTCCCATGAAGTCCATTGTTGATGTTTATTTTAATAACATTCTTCTTTTTAAAAAAATATTTATTTTTTAGTTGTAGTTGGACTCAATATCTTTATTTATTTATTTTTATGTGGTGCTGAGGATCGAACCCAGGGTTAGTAATATGTTCGGCGAGCGCTCTACCGCTGAGCCACAACCCCAGCCCTGGCATTCTTCATTCTTTTAATCATATATTTTTATCTTTGATTGTCAAAGTTGTCTTGGTTTTGGGCTATACATTAAGTTAACTTTACCTTCTATTTAAAGCTTTGCATTGGAACCACAGGCTTTAAAATTTTTTTCTTTTATTTATTTATTTTATTAAAGCTTTATGGTTACACATAGTAGTTGGATTTGTCCTGATAGACTCATACATGCATGGAAATTGATTTAGTTCATGATCCTCCCTTTTCCCTCCCATCCTCCCTTCTCGCTCCCCTCCTTCCACCACTCTATAAGGCTTCCTTTCCTTCATGTATTAATTTGTATTTGATTGGTTCTTTTGTAATCTTATCCTTCCCTCTCCCTTTTCTTTATTTTACTCTAGCTTCTGCATATGAGAGAAAACTGCAGGTTTGTTTTTGATTGTATCTGTTTTTGTTTTTGCCTTTACTTTTGCTTTTCTCTGTTAGCCTTCTGTGCCAGATTTTCCAATTCTTGATGTAACAGTGCTTTCCCACAATTTTCTAGTTTTT